TTGTTTACGAGTACAATCTAAGCCTGTATCTAAAGTTAATTTGATGTCAGATGTGTTCAAAATGGTGGTGTAATTGAGGACGCGGAAAGTAAGTTGGATGAAAATGGTAAAATAACTTCACCAAAGGACATTATATTGTCAATTGAAATATGACCATGAACAACTCACCTTGTTGAGCATTTTTAGTGATAAAACTTTCAAATAAGAGAGATTGATTAAAAACTAAAGCCGAAACACTGCGTCGCTTGATTGACTTATATAAAAGTAAATATAAATAGTTTAGTTACATCATTTCCCAAACCATAATCTTATTTATTATTATCACTATTACTAAACTTGCTGATAAATTCGTATATTGGGGGTTAGCCCTTATATCAACTCTCAATCTCATATCTTCTCTTTGTCGTTTTTGTGTCAATTTTCATTCATTGATCACTGTGTAAAAATTCTTTCATTTATGATAAAAACGGAAATAGCGAACAAAATAAAATTCATCGCTATTTCTTTGTATTTATGAAGAAAGTTTCACGATCCTTTTTAATCAATTATCAATGTTCTTATCTTTTTTTTTTTCTACATTCCATTTCCATTCTTTTTACTTAAAATCTTCTCTTTGTCGTTTTTGTGTCAATTTTCATTCATTGATCACTGTGTAAAAATTCTTTCATTTATGATAAAAACGGAAATAGCGAACAAAATAAAATTCATCGCTATTTCTTTGTATTTATGAAGAAAGTTTCACGATCCTTTTTAATCAATTATCAATGTTCTTATCTTTTTTTTTTTCTACATTCCATTTCCATTCTTTTTACTTAAAATATCATTCTAGTAAGAAAATTTTACTGATACTGCAATATACTCTCAGGAGGGATTTTGCAACTTTGTTATAATTACTTCATCAAAAATTATAACTAAATTTCCATTCCACATAAATCAAGTTTTATTTTTAAAAGTATCTACACATTCATTTCTAAACAAATCCTTCCCTAAATACTCAACATTATCCATATCATCATCATCATTCTCCTTTACCATGAAAATATTTCTTGTCATCCTATTATTCCTTACTATCAATGTAGCTGCCAATGGTCGTATGATATTACCAGAAATCTGACTTACAAAGAATGATGTTAAAAATAACTTCCGGAATGCACGCTCATCAGCAAAACATTATCCTTGTGGAAACAAGTTAGGTCCTGGAAAAGTTTTAACAACATATACTACTAATCAAGTCGTAAACGTTCAATGGGAAATTACAGAACCTTTGGGAGGTACTTGTTTTGTCGATTTGTCAACAACTAGAAAAGATGGTGCCTTTAAAACCATTAGAACCATTCCTAATTGTGCAGATAAAATCGGTGAAAATTTTCAAGCCGATGTACAATTTCCTAAAAATACTACTTGCCGATATTTCTATCTTACCGACCAACAAAAATGAACTTAAGATGAAAAAAAGAAAAAGAAATCATATTAATATGTGTAAATAGATAGTACTGCCAGCTGGCCTGTAATACATACGCATACATTCACACTTACAATTTTATATATACATTTTTGCATATTTATTCATATTTATATTTATTCGATTCCTTAATTGTAATAATAATACCACAATCTGAAAGTCTTTTCATCAACTGGGATTTATTTAAGTTCTTAGCCGGCTAAGGGTTTTCTACCAGCTAATATCACTAATAATTACATGAGGTCGAAATGATCGAAAAAGTCGAAATTATGTCATACCGGTGCCAATCCCATAGCCAAAGTATACAACGTATAGTAAAAATCACTCTTTCTGAAATAAATAAATAATTTTAATTAATTTAAAACAAATTTTTTACCAGCTTAATAATAGCTTCTTATTGTTTAGTAAAACTAATCACATGATTTATTTTTTATCTTGAGAACCAGTGATACAAATTTAATGAAACACGATTCATTAGAATGATGGCAATTTAATGTTCATAACATCAATAAATGTGAGTTATCGTAAGATATAAGGTAAACCAAAATATCTCAATGATCTGTGTTTGATATGAATTACATATCATTAGATTCATCTCATCGAAAAAATTCGAATAGTAATTGTTTTATCCAAAACAACCGGATATTGACTGAGCCATGACAATTTGAAGCTTTTGATTAATTTTCCTGTACATTCAGTCTGTTGCATGATGTAATTTTGACCAGTTCGACTTTTGGGTTTTAATTTCGGCTTCATGTACTATAGTTACAACAAAGTTTTAGAAATTAAAACTTCAGCTTTATTATATACAAGTCAAAGCTCGTTAGTTGAATACTTTTACAGTAAATCTTGTTATAACTAACGAACTTTTTTGTTTCCCCAATTCATTTTTTTAATAATATTTTTATGATGAACTAATTTATTGTTCATCACAGAGAACTCTTGCATTACAATAGAAAAAAAGAAAGTATTACATATAGAACTGAGGGTTTGGTTCAATTATTATGAGCAGTTTAAAATCGATTTATTTAATAATTTGGACAGTATCCACAAATTTATTTTACAATGAACAATTTGTTCTAAATTTATTTAAAATTTTTAAAATTGACTCAATTTACACATCGTTCATATTAAAGAGCATACATAGGCACAAAAATGAAATATAAACAAGTGCAATGGAGTCAAAGAAGAATATATATAAACATGTAAAATATGCCAAAATATGAAAAATGCAATTATGTAAAAAATGATATCAATCTAGTTTAAGTGTATATCTAAATTGTGTGAATGTATATGTATGTATAATGTGTATATAATGATATACTATCTATTTACACCCATGACATCTTTTTCTCCTTCTCATCTTGGGTGCATTTTTTTTGTTAGGTGGTAAGATAGAAATGTCGGCGCAATTTAAATAAATCTCCCTTGATAAATGTGGAATCCACCTAAAACGAAGTGTGCAATGTTCGCAAGATGTATATTCAGGAAGTTGCACATCGACTTGAAAGTTGGCAACTTGGTCCGCACAATTTGGCATTATGTGAATGTTTTGAAAGGCACTGTCTTTTCCGTTTGTTGACAAATCGATAAAACAAGTACCATCCAAAGGATTCTCAATGCCCCATTGAACCTTTATGGTTTCATTAGTAGTATATGTCGTTAAAACTTTCCCAGGTTCATCATCGGTTCCACAAGGGTAATGTTTTGCTGGTAAGCTCGCATTCCGGATATTTCGGATTTCTGGCAATATCATACGACCGTCAGCAGCTACATTGATGGTGAGGAAGAATAGAACGGCAACGAGTATTTTTATGGTTGTGAAGAAAAATGACGATGATGATGATGATTTTGAGGAGGTTTTGTTTGAAAATGAATGTGTAGATAGTGTAGACATACTTTAAATAATAAAAAATTTGTTATATGAAATGGAATTATTTATAATTTTTGATGAGGTAATTTTAATGAAAGTTTTTATATCAAAGTACGTTACAGTATCAGTAAGATTTCTACTAGAATATTTTAAATGAAAAAAGAGTGAATTGGGATGTGGAAAAAAAAAGGCTTTTATATAGAGATAAGAAGATTGATATTCCTATAATTGACTAAAACAATAACCAATTAATTGAAATCGTGAAACATTCATTGTAGTATAAATGTATTTTTTAGAAAACAGGGTTTTAGTAATAAAACTTTGCGGTACAATGTATCAATGATTGTGTGAGACAAATCATCCTAATTAAGAGAAAACAATTAATTTAACGATTAATTGTTTTAGACTGATAATTTCCTTAATGCACATAGAAAAACATAAATGAAATTCTGAAGGTGGCTAAAAATGGAAAGGAAAAAAAGATGCTTTTATTTAATTAATTTTAAAAGCTGTCTGATTGTTTTACACTTTTAGATTATAACGAGAAAATAAATCTAGATTTTAAATATAAATAGGAAGTACACATCAGATATATTAATTTTGAGATAAAAAAGGTTGGTTAATCTAAATTTATTATATGGCAAATTATTTAATAATCGTCTTTCGTCAAATCTTCAAATCTAATGTTATTTTAGTAACAAACATTACCCCAATCAGAAAATCATTTTAAAAATGCAAAAAATATATCTGTCGAAAAGAAAAAAAATATTAATTGCAATTTGATAAGCATTCGGTTATTGGTGTTTCCTCTAGCACTAATTAAAAAGATCATCAATAAATTAAATTTTTTGGCCTTTCTTCCATATTTGGTTATATTAACATTATTTATTGTTATGCATATTAGTATAGATAGGATTTGGTGCTACAAATTCATTCCCCCATTGGATAATGTTTATCAATCATTTCTATGCATGGCATGTTAATAACCTATTCACTAACCTGTTAAAGTGTTCTTTGTTGTATGTTGAAATTGAAATATTATGGAGTGGGGTGAAATTCTGATTGGCTAATTTGAATTTCACATATGTAAATTTGAGAAATTATTAAAAAATAAATCTGGTTGGCTAACACGTTCGCCGATATAATAGTCAATTATTTCACGCTCCAATCAGAAGTCTCTGACACTGCTTTGTATAATTACAAAGACAAGGTATCCTAATAAAAAGAGGTAAAATGAAAAGATTCGATAATAATCACAGAATGTATGTTCTAATAGACATGTGAAAGATTTTAACAAGTAAAAATGGCTGTACGAAAAGCTAAAAAAAGAAAACAAGGTTCTAACCAAATCTGGTAATTAGTTGCAGATATTTTCTAAAATTAGACTATATAGCTTATTTAAGGCGCAGTCGAATTTCATATACGAAGAAATATACTAATAGTCGTGTGACATTTCCCTGAGGCTGCTTTTCTATATGTGAAAATAAATTCGAAATTCGTGTCACATGAAGTTTTT